AGTGCCCCTCGCGGGGCTCGCACCCTGCTCATCACGGGGGATCTGGTGTCACCAAACTGTGTTGTCGGCCCCCAGCGTTTCCAACAGCATCGGCTCCCGCTGGATACTTCCCCACATTGTACAGGGCGGTTTTTAAATACATCGTTTTTTAGAACTCTAAGATTTTTAATCCATAATTGATGTGTGAATTAATTGATGCATGAACTCATAGTTGTTGTTACTACTACATCCCTGTATTTATCATACATGATCCGCACGTGGAGCATGTATAAAAAAGGCACTGTATGGAGAGCTCGCGCTCTCGCGCGGGCCCTCCGCACAGTGTAATGCAGGGATCGCGCTCTCGAGCGAGCCTTCCTCACATTTTTTTGCCGCGCCCTCGACACTCAGGAATCACGCTCTCGCTTTCGCTTTCTCACGATTTCCTGGAGAATCGCGATATCGCTCGGGCCTTCCTCGCGAGTCATGCAGGACGCACGCTTCAGCAACCCGCCTGCTCGACCTGGCCGCCTGGGCCCGCCTCTCCTGCCCACCAGGGTCTACCCGCCCGATCAGCCCGTCTGGTTCTGCCACGTGTTTTCTGCTCCTGGCCCGCCTCCTGCTAACCTCTCTCGTGCTCCATCCTCCTATCTCCCCATTGCCCCTTCCTTCCATCCGTCCTCTCTTCCCCTGCCTCTGGGGCTGCACGATATACCCCCAAGGGGGAACGAACGAAGACGAAGAGAGCGGGTCTCGAGGGCCTGGATTACACGTGTTGAATTGCACGCGAGCAGATAAGAGCGAACAGTCTTAAACTGACTGTTGTTGTTACTGTTGCTGGTGTTGTTGAACCCTCTCTTCGGAAGAACAATTGTTGCTGATCCCCCCTTCCGGTAACCATTATATTTGTTATGTTGACATGCCCCCCAGCCTGTTTTTTATAGGAAAGTGTGGGCGTTGTTGGCCCCCGATCTACAACAACAGCAACAACAACAGCAACAACAACAACGGTTCCCGCCTCATACGTCCCCACAATGTGTTGAAAAATCGCGCTTTCGCGAAATACGTCCTTGAACTTTACGCAAGGATCGCGCTCTCGCTTGGGGCGCCCTCGCAACTTATTCAGACGCAGCGCCTCGACACTCAGCAACAACGCTTTCGCTCTCGAACTCCGCAAGATCTACTTGGGAATCCTGCCCTCGCTTGGAACTTTATGACGGTTCATGCAGGACTTACGCTTCAGCGACCCCCCCGCTCGACCTGCCCTTCTGGGTAGCCCGCCTGACACGCCCGTGAGGGCCCGCAGTCGCCCCTCGTTGCCCTTCGCCGGCCTTCGATACCCCTCGCTGCCCTTTGTGGCCCCGCTGTCGCACTTCGTGCCCCCCCCCCCCTTCATGGCCCCGGTGTCGCCCTTTGTGGCCCCGCTGCTGCCCTTTGTGGCCCCGTTGCTGCCCTCAGTAAGCCCATCGCTGCCTTTGCCCTTCGTGGCCCCCGCTCGCCCGCGCCCTTCGTGGCCTCCTCCGGCCCTCCGTGGCCCCGATGTCGCCCTTTGTGGCCCCGCTGCTGCCATTCGTGGCCCCGTTGCTGCCCATCGTGGCCCCTTCGCTGCCCTGTGTGGCCCTATATAAGTATGCCCTTCGTGGCCCCCGCTCGCTCGCGCCTTCGTGGCCCCCTCACTGCCCCTCGTGGCCCCGTTCCTGCCCTCAATGGCCCCGTTGTTGCCCTCTGTGGCACTGTATACGTATGCTGTGCGTGGCCCCCGCTCGGCCGCGCCCTTCGTGCCTCCCTCGCTGCCCGTCGTGGCCCAGCTGTCCCTTTGTGGCCTCTTGCTCCGGCCAACTTTTCTGGATCCGAGCGCTTCCTCATCATTGTCTCCCCACTCCGTTCTCCTCCTCCGCCTTCCCCTAGTCCTCCTGCTCCCCCCGCGCCTCTCACTCCTGTTCCTGCTGCTGTTCCTTCTCGTCCTCCTTCCTCATCCTCCTCATTCTCCTCCTGCCCTTCCTCCAGCTCATCCGCGACCTCCTCCTCATCCTCCGCCTCCGCCTCTTCCTCCTCCTTCTCCTCCTCCTCCTCCTCCTCCTCCTCCTTCTCCTCCTCCTCCTCCTCCTCCTCCTCCTCCTACTCCTACTCCCACTCCTACTCCTCCAACGTTCAGCACTCGACCGTTTTGATTTTGGATACCACGATGGTGTCCTTTGGGAGGCCCCAGGTCCGCTATGACACCCTTCAGGGTAGAACATAATCAGCACAATAGGAAGGGATGGATGTGAAGGTGGGATGTCAAATATGGCGCGAGCGCGCCTAGCTTACCGCACTCCCTTGCTCCCTCCTTTTCCTCCCCATCTTTTCTGGGACAGTCCTAGATCTCTCGCTTAGGGAACCCGAAGTTGGAGTCAACGGCCAATCTCTCCGAGGCTGCGACTTCTTTAACCCTCTGTCTCCAGACCTCTCGAACCCCTTTCCTGGCGTCGGTCTTTCATCCCAGGCAGTCTTTTGATCGTCTTCCTCCTCCTCGACTCCTGCTCTTTTTCCTCCTCGAAGCCTGCATCCTCCTCGAATCCTTCTACTCCACCTCCTCCTCCTCCTTGTCCTTGACTTCCCCCCACCTCCGCGGCCGCCGCAATCCGCTGGAGATCGGGGCAGTCCTCACCTCTAGCGACCTCCAAAAACAAATTGTAGTTTTCAAGTCAACAGAGGCCTCAACATATTCACCCGCGCGGACCACACACACACAGTGGGCTCGTGCACTCTCGATGCAATTATCCGTGGTGCAATAAATCTATCGATGCGCAATGTTCCTGTTTGTCCCAACACTCCTGTGAAATGGGTGCTCGTTTTGAATCCGCAGCCCTCCTGCCCTCCTCCTCCTCCTCCTTCTGCTCCTCCTCCTCCTCCTCCTCCTCCTCCTCCTCTTGCTTCTCCTCCTCCTCCTCCTGCTTCTCCTCCTCCTCCTCCTGCTTCTCCTCCTCCTCCTCCTCCTGCTCCTCCTCCTCCATTTCTCCTTCTCCCCCATCCTCCTCCTCCTCCATCATCCTCCTCTCCTCCCCCTCCTCTTCCCTCCTTTCCTCCTCTGTTTTCTCTGGCCTGGCACATGCGGACACAACCATCAAGCGTTTCCTACCCCCGTTGGAGGCACGCTCCACCTGTGGCCCCAGCGTGGGTGATTACATGGCGTTCCCCCGCCCATTTCGGCCCACGGAGCTCCACTGACTGCCCCAGCGGGGATGACCACATGGCGTCCCCAGCCCGTTTCGGCGCACACCTCACACGATTCCTGCCCCCATGAGGGGCTCCACCTGTGGCTACGGCATGGGTGACCATATGGCGTCCCGCAGCCCATTTCGGCGCACCCCTCACGTATTTCCTGCCCCCATTGGAGGCTCCACCTATGGCCCCAGCGCGGGTGACAACATGGCGTCCCCAAGCCAACTTCGGCGCACCCGTCACACGTTTCCTGCCCCCACAGGCGGTGTGGCCCCGGCGTGGGTTTCGTGGCACCATAAAAGGCTTCACCTGTGACTGCGGCATGGGTGACCATATGGCGTCCCGCAGCCCATTTCGGCGCACTCCTCACGTGTTTCCTGCCCCCATGAGGCTCCACCTGTGGCTGAGGCCTGGGTGACCACATGGCGCCCCCCCGCCCATAGGAGGCTACACCTGTGGCCCTGGCGTGGGGCACCACATGGCGTCTCCCAGCCGATTCCGGGGCACTCCTCCCACGTTTCCTGCCCCCATTGTTGGCTCCACATATGGCCCCAGCATGGGTGACTACCATGGCGTCCCCAAGCCCACTTCGGCGCACGTCTCACACGATTCCTGCGCCCATGGGAGGCTCTACCTGTGGCCCCGGCGTGAGTGACCACATGGTCAGACGCTTCCCGCCACCACAGGAGGCTCCACCTGTGGCCGCGGCATGGGTGACCACAGTGTGTCCCCCCCCAATTCGGCGCACCCCTCACACGCGTCCTGCCCCCATAGGAGACTCCACCTGTGGCCCCAGCGGGGGTGACCACATGGCCTCCCCGACCCATTTCGGCGTACCTTTCGCACGCTTCCTGCCCCCCATAGGAGGCTCAATGGGTGACTACATGGCGTCCCGCAGCCCATTTCGGCGCACCTCTCATACTCTTCCTGTCTCCATAGGAGGCTCCACCTGTGGCCCTAGCAGGGGCTTCCACATGGCGTTCTTTCGCCCATGTCGGTGCGGCCTTCACCCATGTCCTGCCCCTTTCATCAGGTGGCCCCACCTATGGCCACAGCGGGGGTGACCACATGGCAACCCACAGCCGGCGCACCTCTCAGACGCATCCCGCCCCCACAGGAGACTCTACCTATAGCTCCAGCGGGGGTGACCACATGGCGTCCCCCCGCCCATTTCGGCGCGCGCCTCGCACGACTCCTGCCCCCATGAGAGAGTCCACCTGTGGCCCCGGCGTGGGTGACCACATGGCGTCACGCAGCCAATTTCGGCGCACCCTTCAAACGTTTCCTGCCCCCAGCTCATCTCCTGGCCTAGGCGTGGGCGATCACATGGAGTTTCCCTGCCCATGTCGGCCCAAGGGACTCCACGGACTGCCCCAGCGGGGATGACCACATGGCGTCCCCCAGCCCATTTCGGCGCAAGCCTCACACGATTGCTGCCCCCGTGAGAGACTCCACCTGTGGTACTGGCCTGGGTGACCACATGGCGTCCCCCCGCCCATTTCGGCGCCCCTCACACGCGTCCTCCCCCTCTCATCAGGAGGCTCCACCTGTGGCCCCAGCGGGGGTGACCCCATCGTCCAGACAGCCGGCCCGCGGTTATCATGGCTTAGTTTGCTCGCCAGGCTAATTCGTAGAACTCCCCACGTTGAAGAAACGCCTTTGGGCTCCAATTCTTTCAAAGCCGTGGATCGGGAGGGGAAGCGGTCGCCAGCAAAACGAGTTGGAGCGTCGGTGGCGAGCGCAGCGATACAGAAACGGAGGAGGCAAACGGACGCGAAGGACGACGGGGGGGCGCACCGACAATCCCTGCGGGTCTTGGACGACATCGATGGAGCCTGTTTTTGTCGCGCCCAGGGCGAACATGCACAATATATTCACACACATGCGCTTAAGGTGGGTTCGTGCGGCGTCGGCCTGCGCAAAGGTTTTCGACACCGCGCCGATGGTTCAACCCTGAACCGATTAAGGCCACGATCGTTCAAAATTGAATTCAAGTGGGGTCAATAGCCTTACCGTGTCCGTCGGTGCTTCCGCGTCGCAGACTTCAACCTTGAACGCTTTTGCCGGCGTCGCCAGCGCGCCAACGCCGCACGAACCTACCGTATCCTAGCTTCGACCCCTATGAAAAGAGAGTGTCGGTCGTAGCCGAGAGCCCCAACGGCAGTCGAACCCACTATCTTCAGAAAGCGTCAAGTGGCTTCTGCCTCGATGCACTGCGTGTGCCTTTAAAACGTGTTCGCGAAAACTGGCGCTGACACGCGCCGTGGCAGAGCTGAACGCCGCTGGGCAGCGCCAAGCGGAGGGACCTTCGGCGTGGTGGAGGGGGGCGACGGGAGGAAGGAGTAATGAGGGAAGACGGATGAGAGCGTAGGCACGAAACAATTGAAACGGATGCCGCCGATGCACGACACCAGAACATGCATGAACTCAAAATGAGGACAGAGACGAGAAAGATCCGGCAGCGAACGATAGGTCAGGCTGGCTACGCATGTACGGCAGCGGGGGGGCGGCGATCCCTAACGGTGGTGCGGGGGGTGGGCGGGGGAAACATGTGTGAGCCCCCAGATGGGTAAACACATATCCTGGCGAAGAACCTAACCATATGCCGTTGTGCGTAACGCGGTTGTTAGTACCCTCTTCTGTCGAGCCCGTTCAGTTGGCCACGAACTCTGTGCGAGTTGTGCCAAAATCGGTGCGGTGCCACCATGCGAATGCAGCCTCTGGTGCCTTCGGCGGAGCTCCCCATGGGGCCACGAAGCGTGTGAGGGGTGTGCCGAAACGGGTGCTGTGCCACCGTGCGACAGCAGCCGCTGGGGCCTTCAGTGGAGCTCTCTGTAAGGCCACGGAAGGTTTGAGGGTTGTGCCGACACGGGTGCGGTGCCGCCATGCGAACGCAGTCGTTGGGGCCTTAGTTGGAGCTCCCCATGGGGCCGCGAAGCGTGTGAGTGGTGCCAAAACTGGTGCGGCGCCGCCATGCGAACCCTGCCCGTGGCGCCTCCAGTGGAGCTCCCTATGGGGCCGCGAAGCATGTGAGGGGTGTGCCGACATGGGCGGGGGACGCCATGCGGGGGTTGCCAATCGGTGAAGCTCTCTATGGCGTCACGAAGTTTGTGAGAGGTGTGTCGGAATCGGCCTGGGGACGCATGCGTACCTTCCCCCCGCTGGGGCCTTCGGTGGGACTCTCCGCGGGGCCACGGAGTGCATGAGGGGTGTGCCCGACTGGGCCTGGGGACGCATGCGAGCTGTGCCACTGGGGGGCCTTCGGTGGCGCCCCCTTGTGGGGCCACGAAATATGTGAGGTGTGTGCCGAAATTGGCCTGGGGACACATGCGGCCCCTCCTCTGGAAGCTTCGGTGGAAGTCTCTATGAGGCCAGGAAGTGTGTGAGGAGTGTCCCGCAGTGCCTGGGGACGCAGGCGTATCCCCCCCTGCGGCCGTCGGTGGAGCTCCCGAAGCGATCGAGGGGTGTGTCGACATGGGAGAGAACGCGTTTCACGGGCGTTTGCCTTGGGAACATCCGGCGGCGCGTTTCGAACTGGGGGGTGGCCCCTCCCCAACACTCGGCGCCGTCAATCAAAACCAGGGAGACTCCCCTCCCCCCACCCCCCCCCACCCGAACCCTCCCCCTCTCCCAAATGGGGGGGGGTTCAAACCGCCCCCCGGCGCCGATGACGGCGCTGGCGGCCGCCAGCAGCGCCGACGGCGAGGACGCAGCGACGATGACCAGTGGCAGCCCAAGGGGGAAGGGTTCAACCCCCCCCCCTGGCGCTGGCGCCGGCGCTGGCGGCGGCCAGCAGCGCCAGCGCTGGCGCCGGCGACGGCGGAGACGCAGCGACGATTACCACCACCACCACCGCCACCACTACCACCACCACTTCCACCTCAACCCACCACCACCATCACCATCAACCCACCACACACAACCACCACCACCACCACCACAGCCACCACCACCACCAGAACCACCACCACAACTCACCATCACCACCACCACCACAAAAACCCACCACCAGCACCACAATCTACCACACCACCACCACCACCGCCACCGCCACCACCACTAGTAGCAGCACAACCCAACGCCACCACCACAAACCACCACACCACCACAAAAAAACGCCACCACCGCCACCACCAGCACCAGCACCACGTCCACAAACCACCGCCACCACCACAACCCACCAGCAGCAGCACCACCACCACCACCACAAACCACCACTACACCACCACCGCACCACCACAACCATCACCGCCACCACTCACCATCACCACCACCACCACAAACCACCACCACATCACCACCGCACCACCACAACCATCACCACCACCACTCACATCGCCACCACCACAACCACAAAAGAACACCACCACTACCACCACCACCACCACCACCACACCACCACCACCCCAATCTACCACCACCACCCCCACCGCCACCGCCACCACCACTAGTAGCAACACAACCCACCGCCACCACAGCCACCACCACCACCAACCCCACCTCCACAAACCACCGCCACCACCACAACCCACCATCACCACCACAAACCACCACCACACCGCCACCAAACCACCACTGCCACCACCACCACCACAACCCACCACCACCACCACCACACAAACACCACCACACCACCACACCACCACCACACCACCACCACCACCACCACCCACCACCACAACCACCACCACCACCACAACAAACCACCACACCACCACCACAACCACCACCACCACCGCCACCACCACCACCAACCCACCACCACCACCACCACCACCGTCGTCCTCGTCGACACTCCCCGCCGCCGCTGCCCGCCGCCGCAGGCGTCGGCGCTGGCCCAGAAAAGGAGATCGTCGTCCCCGCCGCCGCCGCCGCCAGCCGCCGCCGACGCAAGCGCCGGCCCGAGGAGAGGAGGGGAAGCAGGTGAGGAAAAGAGGGGGGGTTCGAACTCACCCACCCCCACTCCTCCGTCAAGGGGCTGGGGATCGAACCCCCCCAACCCCTCCATCCAGGGGGGGGGGTCCGGTTTCACCCCCCCCCCCTTCCAAGCGACCACAGAACGCGCTCTTTCCGACATGGGCTAGGGGATTGCATGCGTCCCCCCCCCCTCCAGGGGCCGAAGCCAGAGCTCCCTCCCTCTGGAACTCGGAAGGTGTGAGGTGCGTTCCGGAATAGGTTGGGGGACCGCATGCGGTACCCCCCCCCCGCCCTTGGGCCTTCGTTCATTGGAGCTCCAGCTGTGGGGCCACCAGTCGCGTGTGTGGGGTGTGCCGACGTGGGCTGGGGGACCGCAGGCGTTCCCCCCCCCCCCCGGGGCCATAGTTGGAGCTCCCTATGGCCCACGAAACGTCTGAGGGGTATGCCAGACTGTGTCGGGGGAGCGCATGCTGCAATATACCCACCTCCTGGAGCCTCAGTTGGAGCTCCCTAATCCGAAAGCCCTTATAACGGCGACGAGGCGACGATCGAAAGCAGTGCCCCGGCACTGCTTTGAACGCGTTCAAAGCAGTGCCCCGGCACTGCTTTGAACGTATGATATGATGATATGATGATGATTATGATTGATGATGATGATGATTTTTCCAGCGTACACTGTCCGCAACTGCGGCAATCAACATCATGCTCCACTTGCCCGCAACTGCGGCCATCACCAACGCTGCCCCTCGAAGCTCCACGGAGGGCGCTCGGCAGGTCGCCCGCTCGAGCCCCACTCGACTTCACGCTGAGGAGGCGAGCCCTCAGGGGCATTGTCCGCAACTGCGGCATGATCAGAGGGCCACCACTGCGCGCCATCAGCGCCCCATTCGCTCGAGCTCCAGTCCCACCAGGACCAGCCCTGCCATCTCGTGGCGGGACTGCGCGCCTCCCATGCGCCGCTGCCGCTGGCGTCCCAGGACCCAGCCGCCACTGCGGCACAAGAAGGGGTCGCATCGTCGCCGTTGGCAGCTTGCGGCGGTGGCGTGTTCCCAGCTCGCTCAGCCCCAGCGTCTCTCCCCGCAACTGCGGTTCCCATCTGGGGTCGGACGCCCTTCCCCGCAACTGCGGTGTCCGCGTAGCTGCCCTTCTTGCCGCCCTTCTTGCCGCCCTTCCTGCCGCCCTTCCTGCGTTCCAACCTCGCGGCGAGTCTTTCAGGTGACCTGCGGCACGTATTGTGCGTGAAAGCCACCAGAGGGAAGTGCGCTCCGTGCCTCGCCCTGCCGAAGGCGCCATGCCATATCTTGTCGTCGAGGTTGCCCTGCTTCACTCTGAAGGGATGGCGCACCCAATCGTCGCGTTCCCTGCGCGCCATCCTTTGCTCGAACTCCGCAACTGCGGTCAAGGATTCGCCAGATGGCGTCAGGAAGGCGCGCATCTTGTTTTCAACGGGCTCAGCCTTGGGCACGTAAGTCTGAAGCATCTTCCCAGGGCCATTCGTGTAGTCGAAGACAGGGAAAGACGGATCATGCTGGGTCGTCAAGAATCCGCCCTCACGGTCGTGCAGAACACTCAGGCCATGGTGAAGCTTGTACTGCCCAGGACAGTTTATGAACAAAATCGCCATGCTGTCTGCCCTGGGCTGGCCGCCTGCTGTCTTCCAGGGGGTCCACGCGGCGACGTCCACAGTCAGGCCGCAATTGCGGCACCAGGACACAAGCTGGAACATGCACATGTTGAAGTCCCCCATGCAGACCTTCACGTCCCATTCCCTGACGTAGGCGACGAACCAGTTGTAGAACTCATGGAGCTTCGTGACGCCCCAGTCTTGGTTGGCCAAGCTGTGGTGGACGTGCACCGCCATGACGTTGAAGGAGCCCCCCAAATGGGTCACGGCCTGGTCCAGGTGGACGCGCACCACCATCGCCCTGGAGTACTTGTTGTGCAGCTTTGGCGCAGGAGCCTCCGCAACTGCGGACGTTTCTTCTTCTTCTTCGTTTTGGACTTCTCCTGCTTGTGGAAGAGTCTCGCAAAGTCTACGTGTTCAATGTGGCCGCCACTGCGGTCCCTCATGCCAACAAGGAGGGTCCCTGATGGCTCGCCGCCCTTAACGCACAGGTAGTTGTATTGAGTCCGACTCCGAAACCTATCGTCCGCAACTGCGGCTGCACTGTCCCTCGCGTCGTGCTCCCCACTGAGTACCGCGCAGGTCTCGTCGTCGCACTCGCAGAGGGCGATGATCTGGGCAGGGTTCGCGCGGAGCTGCGCCCACTCGTCCGCGCGTTGCGTGGGTCTAGCTGCAGTCCCTCCGAAGTTGGCCACGTAGAAGCCGACCCGTCCCGCTTCGAACTCCGTTTTCTCCTCCCATGCGTCGACAAGAGCTCTTTGTTTTTCCGACAGATTGCTTGTCTCGATGATGGGCACCCGTTTCCAGGGTCTCCGCGACGACAACACTCTCGGCATGTAGGAGTCATGTGCTGCCGCAACTGCGGCTCCCGCACCTCCCCGGGACTCAGCCTCGTCAGCGGAGGCAGCCGAGGACGCGACGGTGCTGTCGCCATCTTGCGTCCGCTGGTCGTCGTCATCATCCGCAACTGCGGCT